GTTTGAGACCAGCCTTGGCTACAAAGTGAGCTCAAGGCCAGCCTGGACTGCATAGCAAGACCCTGCCTCAAAAAAAGACAAAAACAACAACAACAAAAAACAAAACCAAAGAGACAGCCCGACCTGACTGGGTCTGACTGCACCATCTGGTCTACCTGTACTGCCTGACATACAGACACAGTCAAGATAAAATAGTCAAGCACTGCCTAGTTGCAACCACCCCTCAGCCCCAGCTCCCTCCCTATTTCTCCCGCCTTATGATAAACCAGCCCTCTGACTAACCTCCCTGGAGCAAACCTGCCTGACAGCAGAAGACTTGATTCCTGTAGCCAGTCACGTGGTGACATGCCGCCAGCTTTTGTACGTCCTGCTTACAGAATGTAAGTTTCTGTTTCACTCGCAGTTGGGGCTGGTTGGTTTGCACTTGGCCCACCAGCCCACTTGGGTAATGAACACTGGCCTTCCAAGTCTTTGGTGCAAAGCGCCTTCCATTTGGTTTGATACCAGATTTCTGCAACAGTCAAACTTCTGTGCTGAACAGAACAGGTTAACGAAAGTTAACACCTGAAATATGGCAGCTAGGGAGGATGCAGACCCTTTGGCAATGAAGCTTTGAGTTACTGGATGAGGTACAGGACCTGGAGCTGCTCAGTTCTGGCTGAAGTTGAGGGGAAGGTGAGCCATTGAAGCAGTAACCCACAAGTATCAACTAAAGCCTTGAGAGCCGTTCGTTCTAAGAAACGGGAATGATGAATGGTTTTTGCACGCTTTCTATTTGTTTGTCTGCTTGCTGGGTTGCATCTGTTCAGTGATACAAAGCCACGTTTGCTCCATCTTCTTCCCATTCTTTATATGCAGATCATGATGTGAGTCTGTAGGTAACAGATCGTTCAGTAAGAATGTGCCTAAGGCAGAGTTAATCTAGGCTCTGATGGGGGATTGTTCACCTCATTTTGGGAAAGGTCAAGAACTTATGTTGTATTTTGTTAGTTAGAAATATACAGGCTGGAGCTGGGGATTTAGCTCAGCAGCATAAGCGCCTGCTTTGCAGGCAGACAGTCGAGAGTTTGATCCCTGGTACCAATAAAAAAGAAAAAGAGAAAAAAAATTAAGAAATATACAGGCTGCTTTGTGGTTGTTGTTTTGTGAGATAAGGGTATATCGCTCAGGTTGGCCTCAGACTTGGGGCTGAGACCACAGCGTGCACCACCACGGCCAGCTGTTGTTTCATAAGGCGATTTAGATGCATAGACAGGGTGCAAATGGATTCATCTCAGCCTCAAAATCACCTTCAACACCTGACTTGGACTAATGAACTGGATTCTTATTCATCTTTCACATTTGAACATGTCAAGCCTAGTGCAGGAGGCACGGGAAGGTCAGAGGAAAGGAAAGGAATTCTCTTGTGGCATCCAGCCACGCACAGGCATTCAGGATGTGGGGGTAAAGGCATCCTGTGGTGCTCAGAACACAGTCCTCTTAGGTTTGTTAGTCCATTTTCTGTTACTATAACAAAATGCCCGAGGCTGGATGCTTTATGAAGAGGTTTTGTTTATAGTTGTGGATGTTAAACACATGGCCTCAGCAACAGCACAGCTCTGGTGAAAAAACCATGGCACATGAAACCACATGTTGGGTGTGTGTGAGAGAGGGAGAGGTTATGTGGTGAGACAGGGAACCAGAGAGCAGGGAGGAGCTGGGCTTGGGGTCCCCAGAGAGGCTCCACTTTTTAAAAATCCCACCCCTTCTTAACATCACCACAGTGGGGGCCGAGTTTCTAACACATGAGACCCTGGAGGACACACATCAGAACCAAACCATAGTAATAGAGAACTTTGAGGTCTGGCCCCCTAACAGGGCTTCTCATACCCGGGCTATCCATCCGACAGGGCCCTTCAGCCCTGGTGTCGAGTGGCTTGAACTGATTCAAGAGACTTTGTTTCGCAGTACCAGGGATCGAACTCACAACCTTACGCTTGCCAAGCAGGTGCTTATGCTGCTGAGCTAAACCACTGTCTCAAGCAGCTTGAATTGTCCCAGTGTTCCTTAGGACACTGGGTATTCCAGGATGTGTACCACACAACAACACAACTCCCTGTGTGCACCCACCCAGAACAACCCTGTGCCTGAGGGCAGTGGCTTGCAGCTCTCCACATGTGCAGCTGAGGGTTGCTGTATTTAGGTGAGTTTCCTGGAGGCAGTACACATGTGAGGCACGGATACCCACCCTTTACCCATCCTTTTATTTGGTGTGTTTAGGCCATTTCTGTGTAATCATTCAAGTTATATTTGGATTCAATTCTGCTGTTATTGACTTTTTTCCATTGTTGTATTTTCTTTTTTTCACTATTCCTTTGGGTTATTTAACCATTCACTAGTACTTTAATTTACCTACTGTATTTTTTTTTTAAGTGTTTGGGATCAAACACAAGGCCTTGCACTTGCTTACCCACCTGAGTTATACCTCTAGCCGCTCATTGAATATGTTTTTTTGTGATTAAAATATGCATAATTAAGTTATCAGGCCACATGGAATGCTATATTCCCATCGAAATACAGAACTTTTAAAAATTTATTTTTTTGGTACTGGGGGATTGAACTCATGACCTTATGCTTGCCAGGGAGGCATTTATTCCACTGAGCTAAATCTCCAGCCCCATTTTTTAATTTTAAAAGGAATAAAACAATAATAAAATGAAACAGTGATCATACAGGAAGAAATCTACAATAGTTACATTGCATATTCTTGTTCTAAATAGGTGCCCAGACTATTGAAATATAGAACTTTAATGAAATAGAGATCACATTTCACCCTATTATATTATAGGTGTCCTATGTATTTATATAACTTGAAATACTCATTTCAGTAATTATTAAGAACACGAGTGTACGACATAGTAAATTATAATTACTCAGATGCTTGCCATTTCTGTTGCTTTCCCTTTACTCCTAATATTATGGGTTTTTCCCTAATGTAATTTGTTGCTCAAGAGCTTTACTGATAATTTATTTAAAGCAGGTCTTTAGGCAAAGATATTTAGTATTATATTACCTGGTAAATTCTGTGCTGTCCTGGTCCCCAGGCAATACTAGGGATTGAATAATGAGGACCTTCACACCAAGTTACATCCTCAGCCCTTTTCTGCATTATTTATTGACGCATTATTTATCCTTAAATTGAAAAATGCCCTGCCTTGTCTCAAACTTGTGATACTCCTGCCTCAGCCTCCTACAGTGCTAAGATTACAAATTTGCACTACCATGCACGGTTGATAATTTTTTTAAAGACAAGGTCTTGCTATGTAGTTCAGGCTGGCCTTGAACTATGTAGCCCCAGCTGGTCTCAAAATGATAGCAATCCTCCCACCTCAGCCTCCCACATATTGGGGTTACAGGAGTGAGTCACCACACCTGGCTGATAATTTATTTCACCTTCACTGTTAAAGAAGATTGGTACTGATACAGGATTTTCACATTGGCCTGCCTCCCCTCCTGGCCTTAGTTTCAGTTAAGAAATTCAGTTCATCAAACTGTTTTACTCTGCATGTATGAATTTTCCCAGATTTTTTCAAGATTGTTTTTAGCTTTCACCAGTTTCATATTTATGCCATTTTTGAGGTCTACTTGTTGTGTTCCCTGACTGAACACTTCCACCAAATCTGAGATGAGGTGTTTTGAGAAATTTGTCAGAAGGCAGCTTCATCATCGTGCAGGGTCATGGAGTAGACCTACATTCTGATTGCATAAGGTACTGTGTGCACTGAGACAGTTCTCTCTCTGGCCCGTCACTGGCAGGGTCATGCAGTGCATGACTGCATTCGACATAAATGTTTTACTCTTCTTTCAGGGTGGTGTTAATTGTCTCAGAGTTTTGTTTGGCATCATCATAGGGCATCGTGAGGCTGTTCATTTAGTGAACAGTTTGGAAGAGTATCGCAGACATTTTCAGTACTAGGGTGCTCTAGCTCTTCAAATCCTGTGCAGAATGCAGATATTTCATTGATCCGGAAAATGACCTACATGCATTCAGCATGCAAGTGTCTCTGAGCATTCTGTCGGTTGTTCCAATGTGAATTCCATTTTGGAAATCTTTTTTACCTGGGTATGATGTTACATACCCAAAATCCAAGACACCAAGGCATGATGACAAGTTGAACTCCAGAGTGGGCAACTTAGTGAGACTCTCTCTCCAAGGAATTGGGACTTAGCTCAGCGTGAAGGCCCTGGCCTTAATCCCCAGTACTTAGGGCTAGGTCAACAGGAAGGCTGGTCTATCTGTTTTCAAAGTCTATTTTATGTCTCACTGCCACCACAGGATTGCAGGCAGCCAGGCGGCAAGTGGAGAAGACAAACACGTATTGTAATTGATCTTTTTCTCTCTTATGATGTTCACATTACCACTGCTTGTGGTTGAAACTGAGGTCCAGTGATAATTTTAGGTCCCTGAGAGGTAGGGAAATTACAAAGGCAAGGTAGGAAAACCAGCATCAGTGACTCTGAATTTTTTGTTTGTGTGCATGACACTGGGGATTGAGCTAGACTCTGGCACTTCTTAACTTTTTTGTGATAGAGACCACTAAATTGTATGTTGCCCAGACTGGGTGAAAACTTGTGATTCCCATCTCTGCCTTCCACAGCGCGAGAATGACAGGCATATGGCTCTGCTGAATAATTCTCATGGGTTCAAAAGCATGCAAGGCCCTCGTTGTCTAGGGCAGGGGAAACACTGATCTGCTTTCTAAGAGAGGAGGAAGAATGGACCTTTGGATCCACTGGTTTGAAAATAAAACACATGTAACAAGTTATTTGTAAGAGCACAAGCCCTAGGAAGTTACTACTCTTTAGGTAGTAAGACCTGAGTATGTCAATGAACCCTAATATATAGGAAATAAAACACATGACTAATAGTTATTCTTCAGGCAGTTTGACATCATACTCAAAAACTTTTGGAGGATGATAATAGAGATGTTCAGATCATAGAACAGAGATAGCCCCACAGGTCCCACAGAACACTTTATTACGAGAGTAACAAGAAGGTAAGTAGAAAGATATTTGTAGGCCTAGCTATAACCAGGCTCTTCAATACACATATTGATCAAAAACAAAGATACCATGAATAACTATATCTCTGCAGTGTTGTAAAGTATTACAAGGATGTGTGAGGATAAGATGACAGCTCTGTAATTTTGTTTGAGGTTATAAACTCATGCACTAGAAAAACATAAAAATAAATGGTTTTCTTTGAATTCGATAGGAATGAGTAAGACAACATGGACATCGGTAAGGACTACTAAAAGGCACCAAGAAGACAGCAGTCTTCCCTGTGAGGTGTCAGTGTTTGGTAGTCTCCTGCGGAAACGGAAAACATCTGTCAATTTTCAGATAGTACCTGGAGGAGTACCCCCTTCAAACTTCCTTGCTGGACACGGGGCACAGAGCTGTACGTTTTGGCCGAGATTACATTAAAACCATAGGTGGTCATGGCTATTTCGATGCCCACTCTAACCCGTGGGGGTCCTAATTGGGGCTTTCTCAGAGGTGGCTGGCTGTAGTGTGTGTGATGCTGGGATTAAGGGCACCGGGACTAAGGGTGTGAAGCTGCCCACCCTAACTAAGGGTGAGGGTCCTGGATAAGTTGTAAGAACTCAAAGGGGCTGGTGGCTGGTGTGCTTCTGCTGTCCTGTCAGCTCGCTGTGGACTATTTCTCCTCTATGATGTCCCTCTACCACATCACCCTGACTTGGAGCCAGCCAATAATGGACTGAAACCTCTACAAACTGTGAACAAATAAACCTTTCCTCCTTTAACTTTGGGTGTCAGGTAGTTTGTCTCAGCAATGAGAAAAGTAACTAAGACATGGGCAGCACAGTAGTAAGCTAGGCATACACAAAACCCCAAATACCAAAGCAATGCTTTTGTGTACATTTTGTGCCCAAAGAGCTCTGGCCCATGGACAGTCTACAGAAGAGGGTCTGATGAATCTGAATTCATCGCCAATGGAGAGAGGAAAGTCAGGGAGAAAAGTGGGCTGTGACAGGGAGCAGGGAGAAAAGTGGGCTGTGACACCAGGCTGTCATTTGTCAATATGATCAGCACGAGTTTAAAGTCAACGGTGAGCCAAGCCTGCAGTACATACTTCACCCACAATCCACATATGCTAATAGGAAGCTCCGAACGGGTTCCCAGGGAGTATCTTATTTCAGATCATCAGGCCTTCCTGCAACTGAGGCAGCCATGCAGGCTGGGAGGAAAACCAACAAGCCAACCCACAAGACCTTCCTGTGAGCCAAGTGGTGCACAGGCTGGGAGACAAGGAAAGTAACAAGGCTGCCCTCCCCGAGCAGCTGGTTTGGCTGATTCGGAGGAACTCAGGCTGAGATGATAGCAGCTGAAGTAAAAAAACAAAAACTGAACCAAACCTTGGCCCCTCCTTAATTCTTGTATTATTTTATTGACTTTGCAGGTGTAAAGCTGGTAGTCTTGAGCATTTATTTGAAGGATAACTAAATGCATTATAGCAACAGTGGGGGGTTTCCTTGTTTTTGAAATCTGTTGTTTTGTTGTGTTTTATTGTGGTTTATTTGTGTATCTGGTAACCTGAGCAACTATTTTGAAGGTAACAATATACAATATAACCACCATTAAATTCCAATCATCTTGTTTTGAAATCCTGTATCGCTACTGCTGTTTCATTTTTTTTGCTATTTGATTTTTCTGGTTTTCTTCCTCTTTAGAAAATAAAAACAAAAGGTGTGCAGGTCCCTTCTGTTCAGGATTTAATGTTTGCCTTGTTTTGGGTTATAGTGCACTGGTTGATAGCTGCCAAACAGCTCTTATGGCCATCACAACATAATTCATAACCCAGCTATATATAATTATTTTGACCACTGAGACTGCAAAGTGTCATCATGATTTCCAGCACCAAGAAACATGGTATAGGACAATCTGTATGTGTGTATATATATGTAATTTTTAAAAACAGGGTGCTCCATTATAGATTGGCTTTGGACTCATTATGTAGCCCAGGCAGGTCCTGAACTCATAGCAATCCTCCTGCCTCAGACTCTTGAGTGCTGGAATTATAGGTATGCGCCATCAGACTTGTTTAGTTTTTGTTTCCATAGAATATGGAAGGACAAATCAGAGGCGGTTACTACTGTCAGCTGGAGTTTCTGCTTGATTCAAAGACTGTTTCGCCAGGTCTGGGGATGTAGCTCAGCAGCATAAATGCCTGCCTTGCAAGCACGAGGTCCTGAGTTCGAGCCCTGGTACCTCCCCCCCCCCCCAAAAAAAAAAGTTTTGCCAATTTGTGGAACAGATCTAGAGAAAAAGAAACTTTAAGACCCTCGCTCCCTTCCTGTGTTTGTCTAATGTTACTGGGATTCCCAGTGTGAAGAATAAAGAGTGTGGCTGTCTTTTCTATGATCATGAAAGTGAGGTCTCTCCCCACCAGCTTTCACTCAGCCTCTCTCTCACTCCTGGCAGGCCCTGGTCTTTAATCTGAAACAAGGACAATGTAACAAATTTGATAGCTGAATCAGATTCAAAACTTGGTTGCTGTGAGCTTCTGCAGATGACTCATCTTTAAGACAAACCCTACAGAATCTACACTTGTAAAAGGAACTCGGGGGTGTACTTTAGGGCTATGGGTTAATCCTACAGGCAGAAAGATACATTCATGCCCTTAGTATCATTTTTGACCAGGTGCAACTTGTAAGGTATAGCAACTTGAGCTGAATATTGTCACTACACAAGACTGACTTATATAACCAGGAAAGAATCACAAATATTCAAAACAGACCATCCAAGCCAGGCATGGGGGCACTTGGAGGCTGATGGAGGACGATTGTTGCAAGTTCCAGACTAGCCTGGGCTACAAAGTGAGCTGAAGCCCAGCCTGAATTGCACAGCGAGACTCTGTTTGAAAAAGACCAAAAACAAAACAACCAAGAAACATCATCCAGAAGGCTATATCCATTGTCAGCATCCAAGATTTCATGAAACAGAGATGCTGTTCCTCTGTTAGGAACACTTTTTGTCTTGTTGCAGACCTCCATGTTATGAGTTTGTGGAATGACATGTAGGAAACAACTTTGAAGCAGAGTCCCGCCTACTGGAGAGGCTGAGGCAGAATTCCAAGTTTGAGGCTAGCCTGGGCAACTGAGGCCCCATCTCAAAATAAAAGGGTCTTGGCATGTAGCTTACTGGTGGAGTGCTTGCTTGTGTGCATAAGGCCCCGAGTTCAGTTTGTTGTACTACAATAAAAATATGAATTGATTCTGTACCCTTCCTTACCTTAAAAAAAATTGTTTTTCCACCTTGATATCACAAGTGAACATCAAAGTATTTAGCAGAATTACAACTTTTCAACATCTTGCACATCAACAGAGTTCCTCTCTACTACAAGACCTGACACATTTATTAAATCTCCAGGAAACACTGAGAGGTTTTTTTGTATTTGTTACATCATCTCGCTCCAGGGTAAGTTTTTTCGTTTGTTTTTTTTTTTTTTTTTTGAGACAGAGTCTCACTATGTAGTTCAGGCTGGCCTTAACTCAATATATAGCCCAGGATGGCCTCAAACTTTCAGTGATTCTTCTGCCTCAGCCTCCCAAGTGCTGAAATTACAGGCATGCACCACCAGGCCTACCAAAAGTGAGTCCTTAGAATGCTGCCTTCTGATCAGTCTCTAATAACCTTAGAGATTACTGAATTCACAGAGGGTCTTGAGAAGAGAGATTTCACTGTCTTTGAAATTCCGCCAAAACTAAAGGCTGCTCAATGATTACATTAATTAGCTTTCCCATCAGTATAAATTCCAGTGTGACAACTGACATGTAAGGAATTCATAAAGGACTTTTGACATTCTTCCCATTTAAAGGGCTGCTGGTCAATGTGTCATTAAATGCTCACTTAGTAGGTAAAACCTACTGTAGGCCTTCCCACATTCCTGATATTTACAGGGCTTTCCTCTACCATGAGTTCTTACATGGTGATATAGGTTTGATGATGTTGTAAAGGTTTTCCCACAGTCCCTACATTCATAGGGCTTCTCCCCTGTGTGTGTTCTGATGTGTTCAGCCAGGCTTGAGGAAACGGTGAAGGCTTTCCCACAGTACTGACACTTATAGGGTTTTATTCCAGCATGAATACGAATGTGCTTATTAAGGCACGAGGAATTGCCAAAGAATTTTCCACATGCCTTACATTCAAAGGGCTTTTCCCCTGTGTGAGTTTTCACATGTTCATTCAGCAGGTAACACCTTTTGTAGGCTTTCCCACACTCCTTACATTGGTAGGGTTTCTCTCCAGTGTGAGTTCTTATATGAACAATCAGACACGAGGATGTGGTGAAGGATTTCCCACATTCCTTACATTCATAAGGCCGCTCTCCAGTGTGAGTTCGTATGTGTTCAGTCAGACTTGAAGAAACAGTGAAGTCTTTCCCACAGTACTGACACTTATAGGGTTTGATTCCTGTGTGAATTCGAATGTGCTTATTCCGGCAGGCAGAACTTCTAAAGGATTTTCCACATAACTTGCATTCAAAGGGCTTCTCCACCGTGTGAGTTTTTAGGTGTTCAGTCAGCAGGTAACACCTTTTATAGGCTTTCCCGCATTCCTTACATTGGTAAGGTTTCTCTCCACTGTGAGTTCGTACATGTTTCCGTAGATTGGAGGAAGTGTGGAAGAGTTTCCCACACTCCTCGCATTCGTAGGTTTTCTCTCCAGTATGGATCCTTTCATGTTTATGCATGTAGGAAGCAGCATGGAAGGCTTTCCCACATTCCTCACAGCGGTAGGGCTTCTCTCCAGTATGAATTCTGAAGTGTTCAGTTAAGTTTGAAGAAACACTGAAGGCTTTGCCACACGCCTTGCACACATACGGCTTCTCTGCCGTGTGTGTCTGCACATGTGTAGCAAGGCCCGAGCGCTTTGTGAAGGCTTTCCCACATTCCTTACATTTATAGGGCTTCTCTCCGGTATGAATTCTGAAATGTTCTGTTAGGCTTGAAGAAGTTGTAAAGGACTTCTTGCATTCCTTACATTCGTACAGTTTCTCTCCAGTGTGGGTTCGCATGTGGCTGTTAAGGTTTGAGGAATACCCAAAGACTTTCCCACAAACCTTACATTCGTATGGCTTCTCTCCAGTGTGGGTTCGCATGTGGCTGTTAAGGTTTGAGGAATACCCAAAGACTTTCCCACAGACCTTACATTCATAGGCTTTGATAGTATACATTCGAAAAGGGACAGCTCCACTTTGGGAACACAGACAATCTCTTGCAAATAGCTTGAATTCATAGAGCTTTTCACCGTTGTGATTTCTCACATGTGTCTGAAAGCATGACTTACTAAGGAAGGGACAGTCACTGTATCCGAAAGATCTGTGCTGCATGCTCATCCTCTGGAAAGCAGCATTTGGAGTTGCGCTGTAGGCCATTGCACATTCGTTTAATGCAGAAAAATTCTGTTCAGTAGAAGCTGTCACCTTCAGAGTAGAAAAGGGTTTTCCATCCTGGCCAGAGTCACAAGAGCTCCTTGAACTTTGGGTGGTCATGTGTGTCTTGGAATAGGAGTGTTCACTTAAGATTTCTCCCCAGTGCTTCTGGTCACCAAGCTGCCCTGCACCGTGGATGCCCGCCTGTTGATGAAGAGAGGAAAGGTGGTTAAAGGACTTTTTAGAATAAAGAGACTTCTACTTAGCTGAAGACAGAAACCTTCTCTTCTTCTCTCTTTCACTACATGTCTACAATTCCTGGTCTACGGATTTGTCTCAGCCTCAATGACAGCAAGGACGCTGTGTTTACGGTTCCAACCTTGGAATTATTCCTGGTATATTCTCAGAAGATTCTTTTGGAAGCTCAGTGCCCAGTTGCAGGTGTGGGCTTATGTACTTTTGGGAACTGTGAAGCCTCAAGTTTTGTCTGTGTTTTGAGACACGGTCTTGCTGTGTGGTGTAGGCTGGCCTGGACCTCACTCTGTAACCCAGACTGGCCTCAAGACTCACGGTCCTCTTCTTGCCTCAGCCTCCTGAGTGCAACTACGCCTGATAGAAGGCCCAAGTTTTGACTGAGCATTAGGATGCTTCAAATTCATGCCATTCAGAACACCCCTTCTAGAGAATTTTCTCCCATTGAGGTAAATGCCATCTTTTTCAAGTATTTCTCACTTACACTGATTTTCTGCAAAGGAATTACCAACCTTGTTAGAGAGTCCAGGGAATAGCAGATGTCCCTTATTAAATTTAGAGCTCACTAATGTGTTCTTTGCTGTTAAAAAATGGGTAAATTATGATTCAAGCACATTAGAGGATGACAATGATTTTTTACAGTTTCCATGAAATTCTTATATTCTACCATGTGATTTCTATAAAATTGAATAGAGGAACAGTAGGGCCAGGATCTTAGGACATTGGCTCTAATGTCACAGACACTCATAAGAGACTCAAAGACTGCTTTAAAAAGTCAAAGCCTGGTTGTTTAGGTGGCAGTATGCAGCCCCGGGGATCTCTGAAGGAAAAGAGGTGTCACCAGAGGTCTGAAGCACTCCCACATCCACTGGACGCACAGTATCTCTTCCTCCTGGTTGGAGGCTATTTATATTCTACAATGGAATTCACAATCTTCTCTCAGGGTGGGAAATAAGAAACATTTTGTTAATCTTACCGTTAGTATCTCACTGGCAGTTTGTTCTGTCAAAACACCTTGCTCAAATGTTGACTCTCTGCTCCTAAGTTGCATTTTCCATTCTGAAGACAAACAGAAAAATCAAATTAGGGTTTAGAGAAAGAAATGGTAGACTGTAGGAATTAAAACTGATAGGCGTGCTAGGGATACAGCTCAGCGGTACAGCACTTGGGTAGCATACAAGATGCTCCGAGTTCAGTGCCCATGACTGCATGTACATGTGCACAAAGATAGGACTCATCTGTGGTTTAAAACAAACAAAACCTCAAAAACCTAGTTAGTGGTTGTTATGGTTTGTGTTTACATGTCTCCAAAGCCGTAGGTGGTCACAGGGGCAGGTTTCTAGTCTGTGAAGGATTCATGGTCCAGCGCTGGGATTGTGAGTGTACGTGTACACTCACCCTAAGGGAAGGGCCTACACACAGTATAAGGGACAAGAAGAGTATTTTCTCTTAGTTTGCACCTCTTGTATTTTTCTGGTCTTGTTGCATTTGCTGTTTTCCACTGCTGTGAACTGTTGCTACTCTGCCGTAAGTCATCCTTCTGTGGGGCCAGCTCATTATGAGCTGAAACCTCCACAAACTGTGAGCTCAATAAACCTTCTCTTCCTTAATTTTGGCTGTCGGGTATTTTGTCTCAGCAACAAGAGAAAAGTAACTAAGACAGAAGTTGTATACATGCCTAGCATTCGCCAGGTTCTGGCTTCAATTCTCAGTTTGAGGCAGGGGTAGAGGAAGATGATAAAATTTGAGCATGTTATGAAGGTCAAAAATTTGCCAATGGTAAAGTTGTGGGCTTTAGAGAGTTTTAGACATTTTATTCCTAAGTGATTCTCTGAAAATTAAAACTTATGGCAAATATTATCAGAAATAAAGAGCAAAGATCTGAGCAAAGAATAAACAGCAAACTGATAACAGAGAGAGAGAACAAATCATTCTGTGAAACCTTAGGACAGTGTGGTGAGTCAGAAACAGGACGGGAGGCTGAGGATTTCTCATGTCCACAGCCCACGCTGCAGACCTCCAGTCTTCCCCAAAGTTCCTCCCTGCACCCCCTTTCACTGTCTTGGGACTGGGCTGTCCACATGGACACTCACCGGGGGCATCTCCTCCCTGCTCCGTCCTCCAGGACCCCTTGTGTTCCAGCCAGGAGATCAGACTAGGCTTGACTAGCTCACCCCCTGCACCTGGGGAAAGATGCATTCATGAAGAGGTGTAGGCAAGAGAGCCCCAAACTTGGTGTAACTCAGGAGTGATGCTTCTCATGAGAGTCAGGAGTTATCACAGAAGGACTAAAGTCGTAAATATCTCTGTCTGGGCCCCAAATGACTCATTTTCTGTAAACCTGGAAACCACACGAAGGCTTATGTACACACTAACAAAACACGCTTTGAATCAAATAGAAACATCAAAGTGAAACAAAAAGGTATTTGTTCTGGGGATACAACTATACCAGGGACTCACAAGTTATTATAACATATCTGATTTATGTGGCTGGCTTGTGAGAACTCACAGGACACCGGCTCAGAGTGGGTAAGCACTCAGCTGGCATGCACAAAAGACTGCATGCCACCCCCAGTACCACAAAACAAAACCCTCGCAAGAACCAATCCAGAGTTTTCCTTTTTGTACCGGGATCAAACCCACAACCTCACACTAGCCAGCCAGGTGCCTGTGCCGCTGAGATGACCTCTGGCTCTGCACAGAGCTCTGGGGCTCAGTGACTCAGAGGAGGACACTGACAGTGATTATAGCAGGGTGAAGATGATGATAGTGATTCTGGACCACATTTCAACAACCACCATATTAGATTAAAACTTAACGTGTTTTCCCCTTATCCACAGCTGTACTTTCTGTGTTTCAGTGACCTAGTGTCATCTGTGGCCCCAAAATATTGGTAAGAACGCTGCAGAAATAATTCACATTCTGAGTAACTGAAGAAAACTGGAAAGTCCCATCGCATCCTACCTAGGATGCAAGCCATCCCTTTGTACACGCTACCCGAACAGCAGTCCTCTAGCAACTGTATCATCTACAAGGACAAGATAGGGGCCTTCATGTTCAAGTGATCTTATTTACTTCATAAGGGCCCAACCCAGAACAGAAGCGACACTGCTAATTTGGAAAAACTCTCAAGTTTTACACAAGTGAAAAGCTGAAAGTTGCTGTGCTGGGTGTGGTGGTACACACCTGTGACTGTAGCACTTGGGGAGGCTTAGGCAGGAGGATCACTGCCAATTTCAAGTCCAGCCTGGAGTACAAAGTGAGTGCAATGCTAGCCTAAAGTATACAGCAAGGCTCTGTCTCAGAAAAAAGGAGGGGGCTGGGGATTTAGCTCAGTGGGATAAGTGTCTGCCTGGAAAGTGTAAGGTTGTGAGTCTGATCCCCGGTATATAAAAAAAAAAAAGCCAGGCATGGTGGTGTTCTCTCAGAATCCCAGCACTCAGGAGGCTGAGTCAGGAGGATCACTGCAAGTTCAAGTCCAGCCTGGGCTACACAGTAAGCCCAAGGACAGCCTGAACTGCACAGTGAGACTCTGTCTGAAAAAGACCAAAAAAAGAAAAAGTCATCAACCTAATAAAAAAGGAAAATAATCAAGATAGCTATTATTTATTATAAGGAGGAATCTTCAGTTTGTGAAGTCGTGAAGAAAAAAATAAATTCATGCTGGGTCTGCTGTTGTACATCAAAGCATTACTGAAACTGTACCTGAGTTCAGCACTACAGGCCTGGGGCAGAGGCTCCGCCCCTCACTGCCCAGTGGACTCTCAGTCCCCCTCACCCAGGCCGGCACCCAGGCCAGCAGCCTCCATCTCCTCCCCAGCAGGCTGCAGCTGCGCGGCCCTCTTACCCACGGAGGTCAGGTTCTCGTAGTTCTCCAGCATCACCTCTCTGTACAGCTCTCTGTGACTCTGGTCCAGTAAAACCCACTCCTCCTGGGTAAAGTCCAGGGCCACATCCTCAAAGGTCACCGAGTCCTGAATCAGCACACACAGGCCGGTCTGAGCACCGAGTCACGGCAGCGACCTCTGCCCCAGTGTTCACCGCAGGTGAGGGGTGAGGCTGACGGCCGCTTGGGTCCCCCAAGATCTCCACTGCCCACCCAGGGCCCAGGGTTCTGGGGACCTTTCCTGTACCCACCCGCTCTCACTGTCCACCTCCTGCCGTGATAGGGACACAGTGTCCTTCTAAAACACGAACTCTTCTCCCCACAACTAGATGGGTGCTCTGCTGCTCTTTCTCTGTGCTATTAAAGGTCCTGAACACAAATACGTGTCTGATATACAGGCATCATGAACTAACAAACTTTCACAGAAAGGCACGGTTGCTTCTCTCTTCCTGTCTATCCAAGTACCTGGCGAAATAACAAACACACTCAGTCCCCATGAGTGTCATGGTCAGCAGCTACCGATGTCCTGGAATAGCTTCCAGGTAACACCTTACAGTAAGGGCGGTGTGGCTCCCCCAGGAATCACCTGGGCCTCGGTCCTGGCCGAGGCTTTCCTGGCTTTCAGGTGGGGACACAAATCTGCCTTGGCCGGAAATGTGTCCATCTGGTCGGGCGAGCCTGTGATTGGGTGGGACCGGGCCCCACATACCTGATAGCAACCTGTCAGGCAGTCAGCCACCATCCTGTCTTCCTTTATCTTTTCTTCAAGAAGGATGCCTGGTTGCCTAAACAGAAAGGCTCCTAGAAAAGAGAAGAAGGCATGAGAACTCAAAACTGAGCAAAATTTCCATGTCTTACTAATAGCAAAAAAGGAATGGTGAGCTATGTTGTCCCCCCAGAAAAACTGCTGTAGTCCTGTTTTACAGGTAAGGAATACTTTGGAAGTTTTTGTTGCTTGGTGGTAATGGGGTAGGGATGTCAAACCTAGGACCCACACACTGAACTACACCTGCAGCTTTTTACATTTTTTCTTTTTAAATTTTAAGACAGGGTCTCGTTAAATTGCCCAGGTCAGGCTACAACTTGCGATCCTCTGCCTCAGCCTCCTAGAGTGCTGGTATTACAAGTGTGGACCACCACACATTGTCAGGTAAGGAAAAAAAAAAATAAGCCCAGGGCTGGGGATTTAGCTCAGTGGCATAAGCACCTGCCTTGCAAGCAGGCGGTCGTGAGTTCGATCCCTGGTACCGATAAAAATAAAAAAACAAAAAAGAAAATATAAGCCCATGGAAATTATGTCAGTGAGTTTCAAGCAGTATTTCACCATCAGTCATCAGAGTATGGACACATGCTGTCATGTGCTGAGCCCACAATGACTGAATTTGCACTGCATATATACAGAGAGCCACATAGGTATCATATCAGCCGTCCACACTGTATCAATATATATTATTAATGTGAAAAAAAACCTAGATTCAAGTCAGGAGGTGAAAACCAGGGAAATTAATGAGACCTTATCTTTTTTTTTTTTTTAAATTTTATTTAAGAGGAAAAAGAGAAAAACACAAAACAAAACAAAGCGGTGTAAGGGTACACGTAATACAGAACTACAAAAAGGAAAAAAAACATAACAGTAAAGAAATCACCTGTTAATAGATTACATATTATCATCTTGAAAATAGTTGCTCAAATTACAGTATCAAACAATACAAAGTGGACATTCAAACAGGGAGACTGCAAACAGCTGTGTTCAATGATCCAAAAACACTGATACAGTCAGCTATTTAACACCCCTAAACACACTTGCTGTTATATCCGTTAGAGCTCTTATTTTTCCCCCCTCTCTTTTTTGCAACAAAATTTACACATTTTGGATTTTATTACTCCTTAGTTCTTATTACTTTTTTTGGGGGGGAGAGAAAAGAGTCAAATATGGCAAAACAAAGCTGTCAGTCAAAACCAAGGATAGACATAGCACATGGTGTAGAACAGAGTACAAGGTTATCAACAATGGTTATCAACGTTGTCTCTTGTTTCCTTAAAAAGAATTGTCTATCTCATTAGATATTATAAAGTTGGACAAAACAGTAGAGAACAAGACCAATAAAACTTAGGCATTGTAAACATTACAGGACTTCCAAAGGAGACAATAGTCAAACCAGAATGGGCATCTTAGTGAATCTTATTGCCTTCAAAGTAGTTGCCTATACCCTCAAACTTGATACTACCATACAGAATGGAACAGAGTCTAATCAGTCAAAACAAGATCGTGGGAGCACTACAGGACTTCAAAACAAGTTAATAGGAAATCAAAAAGAGTTACTATTATATATCCTAATTTTTAAAATTTTTCCCCTTAATTAAGACAAACATAAGAAATAACTGAATAATTTTTTTTAAAGAATAAGGGGGAGATTGAGATAAAACAGGACATAACAATATAACAATAGAGGTCAAAGCATGACCGTTTCAGCAACCTAGTACTTTACCACCATATAACCCGACTTAATAGTAGTTACCATAGTGTCTGTCTTTTTCCTTGAAATATTTGGGTAAAACTTCATATATTATAGCTTCAAATATTTCCATATCAAGAAGCCCAGAATAAAGCCTAATTAATGAGTGAAAACTTTATAAGGCTTCAAGGCCACATAATGGGGAATCATGATTACCACATATTTTTATATATTTGAATCATTACTTACATTAGGGAAACTATTCGGTATTCACACACGTGAGATTGATTTATTTCACTTATGAGTATGGTCTCATGCTGCGCCCATTTATTGATAAATATCTCAATGTGATCCTTCTTTATAGCTGAATAATACTCCATTGTATAGAAATACCACAACCTTTTTATCCATTCCTCAGTTGATGGACACTTGGGTTGTTTCCAAGATCTGGTGATTACAAATTGTGCTGCTATAAACACAGGTGCACATATATCAATGTGGGATGATGCTTTCAGTTCTTCTGGGAATATGCCTAGAAGTGGAATAGCTGGAATAAATGGGATTTCCATTCCCAACTTTTTGAGAAATCTCCAGACAGATCTCCACAAAGGCTGTACCAGTCTACACTCCCACCAGCAGTGCAGGAGAGTTCCTTTTTCCCCACAGCCTCTCCAGCATTTGTTGTTGGTTTTCTTGATCCTGGCCATTCTTTCAGGAGTGAGATGGTATCTCAGTGTGGTTTTAATTTGCATTTCTCTAATGACCAATGATGATGAGCATTTTTTCATGTTTTATTTGCCATTTGCATTTCTTCATCTGAGAATTGTGTTTTCATCTCAGATGCCCATTTTTGGATTGGGTCTTTGAATTTTGGAGGTCTGAGTTTTTTTAATTCTTTATATGTTTTAGATAAGAGTCCCTTGTCTGAGAGAGAGTTCACTAAGATCTTTTCCCAGTTTGTGGGTTTTCTTTTCACTATGCTGGAGATTTCTTTTGACATGCAGAAACTTTTTAATAAGAAGTGGTCCCAGTTATTGATTCTGGGAAGTATTTCCCGTGCGGTTTGAGTCCTGTTCATGAATCCTTTACCTACTCCTATGTCTCCAAGGTTTCTACCTAATTTGTCTTGCAATAGATTTAGTGTTTCTGTTTTAATACTCAGATCGTTGACCCATTTAGATTTTAATTTAGTACATGGTGATAGACATGGGTCTAGCTTTAGTTTTCGACAAATGGAGAGCCAGTTTTTCCAGTACCATTTATTAAAGAGACTGTCGTTCTTCCAGTGAACCTGCTTGGCTCCTTTATCAAAGATAAGGTGGTTGAGTGTGTTTGTAGTTGTGGTTGTATCTTCTAATCTATTCCATTGATCTTCGGTTCTGTTTTGATTCCAATACCATGTTGATTTTACTATTGTTGCTTTGTAGTATAACTTCAAGTCAGGGATTGTGATGCCTCCTGCTTTGTCTTTGCTGTTTAGAATTGCCTTTGCGATTCTAGGTCTCTTGTAGTACCAGATGAAATTTAGGAGTGATTTCTCTAGATCTATAAGGTATGTTGATGGTATTTCTATTGGGATTGCATTGAATCTGTATAACAGTTTTGGGAGAATGGCCATCTTCACAATGTTTGTTCTTCCTATCCATGAGCAAGGGATGTCTTTCCATTTTCTGAGATCATCTTTAATTTCCTTTTTCAGTGTATTATAATTTTCACTGTATAAGTCTTTCACTTCTTTCGTAAGAGTAATTCCTAAATATTTCATTTTTTTTGCTTGCTAATGTGAATAGTCCAGTTTCTCTTATTTTCCTCTGTGATTTTGTTGTTCGTGTATAGGAATGCTATTGATTTCTGAGTATTGATTTTGTATCCAGCCACATTACTGAATTTATTTATTGTATCTAAGAGTCTTTCAATGGAGTTTAGGGGGTCTTCTATGTAGAGTATCATGTTATCTGCAAACAATGATAATTTAACTTCTTCTTTTCCTACCTTTACCCCTTATATTTCTCTTTCTTGCCTAATTGCTCTGGCTAGTACTTCCAGTACTATATTAAACAGGAGTGGTGATAAAGGACATCCTTGTCTTGTGCCCGATTTTAAAGTAAAGGCTTTCAATTTTTGGCCATTTAGTATGATGCTGGCTGTTGGTTTGTCATAGACAGCCTTTATTATATTGAGGTAAAGACCATCTATTCCAATTTTCTGTAAAGTTCTTATCATGAATAAATGTTGGACCTTATCGAAGGCTTTTTCTGCATCTATAGAAACGATCATGTGATTCTTATTTTTGGCTTTATTGATATGGTGGATTACATTTATTGATTTGCGTATGTTGAACCATCCCCGCATTCCTGGGATGAATCCCACTTGGTCATGGTGTATAATCTTCTTGATGATTTGCTGGATCCTATTTGCAAATATTTTATTGAGGATTTTTACATCTGTGTTCATTAGGGAGATCGGTCTATAGTTCTCTTTTATAGTTGGGTCTTTCTCAGGTTTTGGTACTAGAGTAATATTTGCTTCCAGGAATGACTTAGGAAGGATTGCTTCCCTTTCAATTTCATTGAATAGTTTGAGGAGTGTTGGTATTAGGTCTTCTTTGTATTTCTTGTAGAATTCTGCAGTGAATCCATCTGGGCCTGGGCTCTTCTTGGTGGGTAAGGACTTAATTACATTTTCAATTTCACTAGCAGAGATTGGGTGATTCAACAGTTTTACATCTTCTTGGTCTAGCTTTGGTACTTCATATGCTTCTAAGAATCTGATGAGACCTTAAGCTCGACATGGTGGTGCATGCCTGTAAGGCCAATGCTTGAGAGCCCACAACAGGACATCAGGGCAACTTTGAGGTCAGCCTGGGCTACATAATGAGCTGACGGTTAGCATGAACTACCTAGTGAAATCCTGACTCAAAAACAACTCAGTGAGGTAGAGCTCGGGATGTAGGTCAGTAAGAAACGCTTGGGGTCAAACCAAAACTAAACTAAACCAAATCAAGATCCAGACAGCACAGAAATCCCACGCTACCTGGTTAAGCAGCAGAGACCCGGAACCTGACTGCAGGTTCGTCCCTGACCTGCTGATTGTCTTTGGTTGCTGGTGCACTTCTGGGTGACCAGAGAGAAAAACATTTTGAATCCATGCCCAGCACTTCGCTGCCTTTTGGAGATCATCTCTAGGGGCTCAATGATAATTCAATACCTGAGGGTTAGATGGATACTTGGGGCTTCTTCACTGAGAGCCAAGACGAGAGGCTGCAGTAACCATCTGACCGCTGGATCTATTTCCCAAGGGACACTGCGGTTACTGCTGTATCACCCAGGCAGGGGAGTAAACCCT